GAGACCCTCGATGTTATATTGGGGAACCAACTAGAAATTAAGCATACACGGACTGAAATAACAAATATTATACAGACTCCCGACAGCAGACCAGAGGAGCGCAAGAATCAAGTCAATGATTTGAAATGCGATGAAGCAAAAAACACCCAACCGGAAAAGCAAAATGAAAAAAGAATCCAAAAATGCGAGGATAGTGTAAGGAGCCTCTGGGACAGCTTCAAGCGTACCAACATCAGAATTATAGGGGTGCCAGAAGATGAGAGAGAGCAAGATATTGAAAACCTATTTGAAGAAATAATGACAGAAAACTTCCCCCACCTGGTGAAAGAAATGGACTTACAGGTCCAAGAAGCGCGGAGAACCCCAAACAAAAGGAATCCAAAGACAACCACACCAAGACACATCATAATTAAAATGCCAAGAGCAAAAGACAAAGAGAGAATCTTAAAAACAGCAAGAGAAAGAAACCCAGTTACCTACAAGGGAATACCCATATGACTGTCAGCTGATTTCTCAACAGAAACTTTGCAGGCCAGAAGGGAGTGGCAAGAAATATTCAAAGTGATGAATACCAAGAACCTACAACCAAGATTACTTTATCCAGCAAAGCTATCATTCAGAATTGAAGGTCAGATAAAGAGCTTCACAGATAAGGAAAAGCTAAAGGAGTTCATCACCACCAAACCAGGATTATATGAAATGCTGAAAGGTATCCTTTAAGAAGAGGAAGAGGAAGAAAAAGGTAAAGATACAAATTATGAACAACAACATGCATCTATCAACAAGTGAATCTAAGAATCAAGTGAATAAATAATCTGATGAACAGAATGAACTGTTGATTATAATAGAATCAGGGACATAGAAAGGGAATGGACTGACTATTCTTGGGGGGGGAAGGGGTGTGGGAGATTCGGGAAGAGACTGGACAAAAATCGTGCACCTATGGATGAGGACAGTGGGTGGGGAGTGAGGGCGGAGGGTGGGGCGGGAACTGGGAGGAGGGGAGTTATGGGGGGGAAAAAGAGGAACAAATGTAATAATCTGAACAATAAAGATTTAATTAAAAAATAAAAAATAAAAAAAAATAAAAATAAAAAAAAATTAACCTAAAGACAAAAAAAAAAAAAAAAAAAGTACAACTAAAAGACTGAACGGACATCATCCAGAACCACAGGAAGGCTGGCTGAGTGGAAATTCTACAACTATAAGGAAAGAGAAAAGCTTACCGAGACTCAGAGGAGGAGCAGTGCGGAAGTAAAATACTAAGGTACAGAGGCGCACGTGGAGCGAGCAGGTGGCTGAGGGCGCGGTTGTCTTTTTCAATCGGGAGGGAGTCTCAGGCTCTGAGCTCAAGTTCTGGGCAAGTCTTTGGGGACCCATACTCATACGGGAGAAACGGGACTGTCTGGCATTGGTCAGAACTCGAGAGCAGCTTTCTCTCGGAGGTGCTTGCAGTGATTACCAGGACACTGAGAAGCGGAGCCTCTGAGGGCAGGACTGAGAGCAGCCGTAACTGCTATCCCAGCCCTGTTGATCCCGTGAGACCTGCCCCGCCCAAGCCCTGCATGGAGGCTTTTGCTGGGTAGCCTCAGGCACAGGCTAGATTAGCACCTCCCTAGAGATCTAGAAGCTGGTGTGCCTGGTGGTCAGAGTGGGACCATCCAGTTTGCAGCTCCTCAGATCAATAAAGGACACACTCAGGGGGCAGACTCAGTGAGCACCAAAGCCCCACTGAAGCAAGAACTTCTCCCACTGCGGACACAGCTGATTCTCACAGCCAATTGGCCTGGAGGTCAATTCCTGCCAGTGATACCTACAACAATCAAGGCTTAACTACAACAAGACTGTGCACAACGACCACAAGGGGGTGCACCAAGAGTGTCCTCCTCAGGTAATTGGGGAGGCTGAACCACTGGGCCCTAGAGGACACTTAGCACAGAAAACCACTTTATCAACACAGAGTAGCATAAAAAAATGCGGAGACAAAGAAACAGGACACAAATGACAGAAATGGAGGAAAGCAAACTACTGGATATAGAGTTCAAAACCACACTTTTAAGGTTTTTCAAGAACTTTCTAGAAGCCGCCGATAAATTTAGTAAGACCCTCGAAAAGACTGGTGAGACCGCTGATAAATGTAGTGAGATTCTCAAGAAATCTAGTCAGACCCTCGAGGTTATGATAATCTGAACAATAAATATTTAATTTAAAAAAAAAGAACAAGGAAAAAAAAAGAATAAAAAAAGAAACATCAATAAAATGAGGAAATATAACAAAATGCAAGCAGAAGAGTGAAAGTAATATAAACTTGATTGGGGATAAATAAAAAAGAGAATACAAAAACAATACAGAAAATAATGACACCAAATAATAGAGCTTTGCAAAGATCAACAAAATTGACAGACTTTTAGCTAGACTGACTAGGATAAATTAGACAATTCAAATTACAAAATTCAGGAATGACAGAGAGATCATCCAATTGAACTCAGAGAAAAAAATTTTAAAGAACTTTAATGGAATATTATGACGCAGGGGTGGGCAAACTTTTTGACTCGAGGGCCACAATGGGTTCTTAAACTGGACCGGAGGGCCGGAACAAAAGCGTGGATGGAGTGTTTGTGTGAACTAATATAAATTCAAAGTAAACATCATTACATAAAAGGGTACAGTCTTTTTTTTTTTTAGTTTTATTCATTTCAAATGGCCAGTTGCGGCCCGAAGGCCATAGTTTGCTCATGGCTGCGCTAGAGGCATGGGTGGGGCCCAGCAGGCTAGCCCTGATTGGGCGTTTGGGCTGGACCGGCGGGGGCGGGGGGGGAGGGGGGGGGACCACGGGCAGTTGGCCAGCTGGCCCGTCCCGATGTGGGGGGCAATAGGGGACAGGGCCGGCCAGAGGAAGGGCCTGGAGAAGGCCCACTAAGCTGGAGCTGTGCATGGGCCCCAGGCTTCCGAGGGAGGAAACAGAAACCACCAGAAGGCTCTGCAAACAGGCCCTGAGCTCCCTTTGGCCAGGCGGACTCAGAGCTGGTGTCTCTGTGTACATTAGACACAGCCCGGCACTCGCCTTTGTCTGCTGGTCACATCCATTGCATCGAAAAACTTGTTCCCCTTCTTCTCTTTGGGCCCTTGCAACAAATACAGGCCAATTGGAAGATGCGGGCCCCAGTGGCAGTCAGGCCGCACAATCACTCAGAATTTAGGCCTAAAACAACTGGGTAGCAATCTCCACAGAACAGAACACACTGTTTTAGAGTCTTAATTCTCCCCTAAAACGTGCCCAGCTGCTCCTCTGTAACCAGGATAGACTGAACTAAGGAACCAAAGACCAAATTTCCTTTGAGGTGGGATCCACCTGGAACTGGCTGGTGGCAAGGCCCCTCACAAGCGGCTGCCTTCACCCCAAGCTTGGTGTGCTCTGAGCAGGTCCATTTCTGGCAGTGCCAGGTCCTAGGCTGCTGGTCAGGCAGCAGGTCCACACGGTTTCTCTCCGCCGCCTTCCTGGCCTCCAGAGCAGTACCCTCTGGCCTGGCGTGCCAGGCGGCTGTCACTAGAGCCAGGACTCAGAGAGCAAAGGAGCTGGCCCCTGCCAACAGAGACCTGCAGGTGGTCCGGCCATGCCCCTCACCCCACTTCTCAGTCTCCCTCGCATGGATCAGGCCAAAGCCCGCTGCCCGAGACTGGTGCCATGTGGGTATGGTTGCAGTGCGGAGAGGGGCACCCTAACCTGCCAACCCTGGTGACAGTCATCTCAGTGCCCAGCTGATTGAATTCATCCCACAGAGCCTTCATCTCAAGCTGCACCCTCACGGTGGCCACCTTCACATTCTTCCTTACTGGCGCCTTGGCAGCAGCCCTGCCACTGGCCCCAGAGCCCTCGGGCTGGCAGCGGTGCTGGTGGCCTCCCCATGGCCGGCACATCATAGCGACTGGTCGTTCAGCTGTAATGGTCGCTGGGCTTTTATTATATAGACTAGAGGCCTGTTGCACAAAATCGTACATGGGAGGAGGGGGAGTGTCCCTCAGCCTAGCCTGTGCCCTCTCGCAATCCAGGACACCTTGGGTAGGGTCCCTAGGCCTGGCCGGCAATCAGAGCCTATCAGGGCCGCTGCTTGCCATCTGTGTGGCTCTGTTGTCCCCCCACCACCAGTGGCCTCCCTCTGAGGGGGACAGGTGTGGGGCGTGATCACTTGGCTGGCCTGGGCCTCCCTCTGCGGGGCAATCCACCGTGGGGAACCCTCAGGGAGGCCACGCCCCCAGATCGATCACCCAACAGAGGGAGGCCACGCCCACCCAGCCAGGGCTCCAGGATTGGTCACCACACAGAGGGTGACCTGGGCATCCCTCTTTGGGGCAATCGCTGATCCCCCCATCCCCTGATCAATCGCCCGCCAGCTGGTGGCCTGGGCCTCCCTCTGCGGGGGGATCATGGGGCAATGGCAGGGCCCCCTGACCAATCTCATCACACCCGCCTTGGCTGTCCTGGTGCCAGTGCATGAAGGTCGTCCAAACAGTCATTCTGCTATTTGGTCGTTCAGTCGATTTGCATATTACTTTTATTATTATAGATATTGTAAGCCAACAAATTAAATACCCTAAATGAAATGGATCATTTTCTACAAAAACACAGATACAAACTTCTGTCTCAAAAAGATTTGGAGCCGAAACCGGTTTGGCTCAGTGGATAGAGCGTCGGCCTGCGGACTGAAGGGTCCCAGGTTCGATTCCAGTCAGGGGCATGTGCCTGGGTTGCGGGCACATCCCCAGTGGGAGATGTGCAGGAGGCGGCTGATCGATGTTTCTTTCCCATCGGTGTTTCTGGTTCTCTATCTCTCTCCCTTCCTCTCTGTAAAAAATCAATAAAATACATTTAAAAAAAAAAGATTTGGAGGCCCCAGTGACTGAGCCACCGCCGAGGACTCAGCAAGCTCCCCCTTGAGCCCCCCTCGCTTTCCAACGCTCCGTCCCCCCTGCCCACCTTCTCCAGCCGCAGCCTTCCGCAGGCCGTTTCCACCGAGGAAAAGGAATTGTATCGTATGTCCGCTATCCAGAACCTCCACTCTTTCGACCCCTTTGCTGATGCAAGTAAGGGTGATGACCTGCTTCCCGCTGGCACTGAGGATTATATCCATATAAGAATTCAACAGAGAAACGGCAGGAAGACCCTTACTACTGTCCAATGGATCGCTGATGATTACGATAAAAAGAAACTAGGGAAGGCCTTTAAGAAGAAATTTGCCTGCAATGGTACTGTAATTGAGCATCCAGAATATGGAGAAGTAATTCAGCTGCAGGGTGACCAGCGCAAGAACATATGCCAGTTCCTCGTCGAGATTGGACTGGCTAAGGACGACCAGCTGAAGGCTCATGGGTTTTAAGTGCTTTTGGCTCACAGAAGCTTAAGTGAGGATTTCTTTGCAATGAGTAGAATTTCCCTCCTGTCCCTTGTCACAAGTTTAAAAACCTCACAGCTGGTATAATGTAACCATTTGGGGTCTGCTTTTCACTTGGACTGGTGTAACTCCTTCATGCAATAAACTGAAAAGAGCCATGCTGTCTAGTCTTGAAGTTCCTCATTTAAACAGAGGTCAAGCAGTAGGCGCCTGGCAGTGTCCAGCCTGAAACGGAGCAATACCGTGATGTTTCAGCCAAGCCCATGTCTGGCCAAAGCTCCTCACCAGAGTTCCCTGCCCTCAGAGAATGTCACCGCCTGAGCAGCCTTCAGTGAAGCTGGGAGGAGAGGGGTAAGGCAGCAGCGGCATGTGTACCACTAGAGGGAGCCTTCCGCAACCACAGATCTACACCTGACCAAGCGATGGAGCTTAGAGCAAGCAGCCTGCCACCTTCCCTCCAGTGAGGTGTAAGGACTTGTGGCTTGCCACCAAGGTCTTTTTGACCAGACAGATCCTAGCTAATTGTCCAAACACCATAATTTGAGGCCAACCTTCTTATCAGAGTTAAACTTTTGACAAGGGAACAAATTTCAAACTGAAGTGTCAGTCATGTAGCTAGCTGCAGAGCTTGCAACTTCCTAGCAACAGCTGCCCAATGCCATGTGAAGTAAAGAAACAAAAATGATTTTGGGGGTGTTCTTTTTTCCCTCCTTCAGTTTTAATGTTATGTTATGTATTTAAACCCTTATTTAAATAAAACTTGTTTTCAGAAACAAACAAAAAAAAGATTTGGAAATTTAAATAAACCTTTAACAAGTAAAGAGATTAATTTAGTAAACAAAACCTTCCCACAGCCAAACCGGTTTGGCTCAGTGGATAGAGCATCGGCCTGTGGACTGAAGGGTCCCAGGTTCGATTCCAGTCAAGGGCATGTACCTTGGTTGCGGGCACATCCCCAGTGGGGGCCATGCAGGAGGCAGCTGATCGATCACTCTCATTGATGTTTCTAACTCTCTATCCCTCTCCCTTCTTCTCTGCAAAAAATCAATAAAATATTTTTTTTAAAAAAAAAACCTTCCTATAATGGAAACCCAGGCCAGATGACTTCAGTGATTAATTCTACAAAATCTTTAAAAGAGAATTAATACCAACATTCTGAAACTCTGCAAAAAAGAAGAAGAAGAAGGAGGAGGAGGGGGAGGTGGAGGAGGAGGAGGAGTGGGAATATTTGGCAACTCACTCTATGATGACAGCATTACCCTGATATCAAAATCCGATGAAGACAAGCAAAGTCATTATAAGATATAAAAAAAACCTAAAGATCAATATGCCTTATGCATAAAAACACAAAAATTCTTTTTTTTCCACAAACCACTGCTTTTTTAAAAATTTTGTTTTATTAAAGTATTACAAAGAGTATTACATATGTCTCCTTCCCCCCTCCTTGACATTCCCCCAGCCTCCCCTACCCCCCAGTGTCTTGTGTTCATTGGTTATTCTTATATGCATGCATACAAGTCCTTCGGTTGATCTCTTACCACCCCACCCCCCCGCAACCCTTTCCAGGCTTCCCACTGTAGTTTGACAGTTTGCTCAATGCTGCTCTGCCTCTGTATCTATTTTTGTTCATCAGTTTATAATGGTCTTTATTATCCATAAATGAGTGAGATCATGTGGTATTTTTCTCGGCTTCCCAGGGGCCGTCGCAGCCTCGCAGGGGCTATCTCATCCTCACAGGGTTCGTTTCAGCCTCACAGGGGCCGTCTCAGCCTCATAGGGGCCGTCGCAGCCTCGCAGGGGGTGCCGCATCCCACATTGGGGGTGAAGGTACAAGTCAGAAGCTCCTCTCTATGTCTCTCCTGCTGCTCCCTTGCGTATCGCCGATGCTGGAAGTTTCTGAGAGCAGTCTGCAGGTGCTGGACATCATACTTTAACTGGTCAACACGAAGTTTGACATTCTGTCTTTTGTTGGGCGACTCCTTGCTGGACAAAATCTCCAGGCGTTCTTGGTGGCTGAATATCTGGTATGCTTGCTTGGATTTCGTTTTCTACTAAGTGCACAGACTGCTTGTCTGCCGTCTTCCAGCGTCCCATGTGAGACTGGATCTGGTGGACCTGCTTGTGCATTTGCTGGTACAGCGGTTCCATGTCGTCGGCCCAGCCGGGTCCTGCTCCGGCTTCCTCCGAACCTGATTCTGCTTCTTGAGTGTGTCCCTTATGTATGCGAGGAGTTGAAATAAGCAGTTTGTTGGGTTAGGCTGCAAAAGTGCAGGTGGTTTCTTTTGTGCCACTGGCACAGCTTGGGCGGGGATGTAAATTGAGTAGGGCGGGGCCTCCGGGAATCACCAGGGTAGAGCAAAGAGAAATGGTGTCTCCGAGACTCCTCGCCTCTCCGCAACTCCCGCGTCTCTGCGTCCCCGAGTGCTGGCAAGCAGCTCCGCAAGAAAGCCACCCTCACTCTCCGACCCACTGCAAGGCCGTCCCGCCTCTCCCCATAGGGGTCTGGAACCTCAGAATCCCGCCCCAAACGAGCTCAGTGGATTCGAGAGTTTGTAACCCCTTCCTATTGAAAAAAACCGCGCACCCAGTTGCAGCCCGCCTGGCGCGCACGACTCCGTAGATCTGTTCTTGGCGCCTCTGTACATCCTACTCAGTCTCAATGCTCTTCTTTCTTTCCTTCCAGTTGTAGAGCTTCCACTGGGCCAGCTTTCCCATGGTTCTGAATGATAGCTGTTTGTCTTATAGTTGGTAGTTTCAATGTTGTTGTGGGAGGCAGCACGCACAGGTCTGTACCTTACGCCACCATCTTGGTTCCTCAAAACACAAAAATTCTTAACAAAATACTAAAAGAATATAAAAAGATTATAGAGCATGACCAAGTGGGACTTACCCCAGGAACACAAAGTTGGTTTAACCCAGGAAAATCAATCAATGCAATACATCATGTTAACAGGATAAAGCATAAAAACTACATGATCATCTCAATAGACAGAAAAAGCAGTTGACAAAACCTAATACCTGTCACATTAACAACACTCAGTTAACTAGGAGTAGAAGGAAACTTTCTCAGCTTGATAAAGGCCACCTATGAAAAACCCACAACTAACATTACACTTAATGCGGAAAGGCTGCATGTTTTCCTCTAACATCAGGAACAGACAAACCTCTCCACTCTTTCCATGTCTATTTAACTTTACCCTAGAGGTTCTCACCAGAGAAATTAGGTAAGAAAATGAAATGAAAGTATTCCATATTATAAAGGAAAAAGTAAAACTATCTCTATTTGCGGCTTTCATGATTATATGTAAAAGTCCTAAGGAAGGCACACACAAAAATAGCTATTAGAACTAATAAACTAGCAAGTTTTCAGGATAAAAGGTCAATATATAAACATCAATTGTATTTCTACATATTAGCAATAAACAATCTAAAATGTAATTAAGAAAACAACTGCATTTACAATAGTATCAAAAATAATGGAATATTTAGGAATAATTTTAACAAAAGAAGAGCAGACTTGTATACTGGAAACTATAAAACATAGTTGAAGAGTTTAAATAAAACTTAAATAAATGTTAAGACTTTCCATGTTCATGGACTGGCAGACTTAATACTGTTAAGACAGCAATGCTTTTCAAACTGGGTCTATAGATTCAACTCAATCCTTATCAAAATCATTGCTTCCTTTTTTTGCATAAATGATCAATCTGGTCCTAAAATTTATATGCAAAGAAAAGTTTGCATGTCAAGCCTTGGGAAACCCACCCTTCCCAATTTTAATGGCCAAAAGAAGTCAACAAAGATGCCCGAGGAAGAGCATCCAGGGAGGTGGGAGGAACACCAGGACAGTGTGGTGTCATGTTACTTAGAGGAACAGAGGGTTTCAAGGAGTGTGTGGTCCTCAGGACCCATTGCTGCTGGGAGGTCAGGTAAAATAAGGACTGAAAGTTGTTCATTGGATTTGTGATAGGGAAGTCATGGATGTCCATAGCAGGAACAATTTTGTGAGGTGATGAAGCCAGAATCCAAATTGGAATGAATTAAAGATGAAGATAGAGGTGAAAATGAGATTACAAATACAGACACTTTTTTCAAAAATTTGGGTAGTGAAAAAGAGAAAGGAAGGGAGACTAAAAATGGCAGTGGAGCCCTAGCCGGTTTGGCTCAGTGGATAGAGCGTCAGCCTGTGAACTGAAGGGTCCCAGGTTCGATTCTGGCCAAGGGCACATGCCTAGGTTGCGGGCTTGATCCCTAGTGGGGGGCATGCAGGAGGCAGCCGATCAATGATTCTCTCTCATCATTGATGTTTCTATCTCTCTATCCCTCTCTCTTCCTCTCTGAAATCAATAAAAATATATTTTTTTAAAAAACAGCGGTGGAGTAAATGGAAGCTACACTAACAAGCTCCAAGAACAAAACTGGAAGTACAACTAAAATATAGTAAAACCACCCTGAAAAATCTACTGTAGACTAGCTGGAGAGGACCCTGATAACCAAGGACAGAAAGTGGAGATGTAGAGAGACTAGTAGGAAGCACAGAGATGTGAAAGAGGTAGACAGGCTCCCACAGACAGCAGCTGAAGGTCCGGAGGGATATCTCAGCTGTGTGGGGGTCCCACTGATAACTCTGTAGTCTAAACCCCAAGCTGGGCTCCCCAAGCCAGGGCACCAGAACTGAGAACAGTGCCCACATAACATCTGGCTGTGGAAAGCATCAGGGTTGCTATCTGCCAGCAAGAGACAACTGGAAATGCAGGCACCCTCTTAAAGGGCCAATGCACAAAATTATGTGTGAAGACACTGACCTTGCGCTCCAGTAGAAGGAGGGCAGAGTGGACTGGAGCTGTGTGAGGAGCGTATAGGGTTGGGGGCTCTGGGATTGGAGCTTGGAGGGCAACCACCCTGGTTTCCTGTGCTTGGTCATTCCCTCACACTGTGGAGGACATCTTTCTTCAAGGACCTTTGCTATTCAAGTGGTATTTGCCTGGGGGAAAGGCAATTGCCACACCCTTTTGGAAGACCTCTTGCCCCACCCTGTGGTCAATACCCTAAGACTAATCAAGGCTGATAACAATCAAACTGCAGGCAGAGGATGATCTTTGGAGGCTTTGAGTCTTTGCCTTATCTCCTTCTGGGCCCAGGGCTAGGAAAAGCAGATCCTGGTGCACATCTTGGTCCTTTCCAAAGGCACCCTCCCCAGAAGGCTGAGCCACAAGCTCTGGGTTGCTGATAGCCCCAAAGAGGACACTCAGGGCCAGTCAGAAACAGTGCCTGACATTGTCCTGCACTAGAGATTGGGAGTCATAGCAGATCTACCTAATACACAGTCACAAACCCAAACAGGCAGGCAAAATGGGGAGACAAAAAACAACTCCCAAATGAAAGAACAGAGAATTTTTATGGCTATCATCAACAAATCAACAAACGACAAATGCTGGTGAAGATGTGGAGGAAAAGGAACCCTTGTGCACTGCTGGTGGGAATGCAGACTGGTGCAACCACTATGGAAAATGGTATGGAGTTTCCTCAAAAAATTAAATATGGAACTGCCATTTGACCCAGTAATCCCATGTACAGGAATATAGCCTAAGAAATCAGAAACACCAATCAGAAAGAATGTATGCACCCATATGTTCATAGCAGCACATTTTATAATAGCTAAAATCTGGAAACAGCCCAAGTGTCCTTCAGTAGATGAGTGGATAAAAAAAAAAAAGCTGTGGGACATTTACACTATGGAATACTATGGAGCTATAAAAAAGAGGGAGTGTTACCCTTGGGAACAGCCTGGAAGGACCTCAAGAGTGTTATGCTAACTGAAATAAGCCAATCAGAGAAAGATAAGTATCACATGATCTCACCCATATGTGGAATCTAATGAACAAAATAAATTGTTGAACAAAGTCAATCCAGAGACATAGAAGCATAGACCCAACTGCAGAATCTCAGAGAGAAGCTGGGGGAGGGTGGGTCGGTGAGAAGAGATCAAAAAAAGAACTTGTATGCATATATAGATAACCCCTGGACACAGAAAATAGGGTGGTGAAGGCCTGGGGTGTGGTGGTGGGGGAGGGGTTGGGCTAGAAGTAGTCAATGGAGGACATATGTAATACTTTCAACAATAACGATTTAATTAAAAAAAAGAGGGAGAGAGCTCTAGCTGGTTTGGCTCAGTGGATAGAGTATCAGCCTGCGGACTGAATGGTCCCAGGTTCGATTCCCAGTCAAGGGCACATGTTCGAGTTGCGGGCTTGATCCCCAGTAGGGGGTGTGCAGGAGGCAGCCGATCAATGATTCTTATCATCATTGATGTTTCTATCTCTCTCTCCCTTTCCCTTCTTCTCTGAAATCAATAAAAGCATGTAAAAAATTTTAATTAAATTTAAAAAGAGAGAGAGAAAAGAACTAAAGCCTCCTCCAGGATGTGCCAGGGGCTCCTCAAATTCAGTATATTCTAAACTAGACTTTCCTCCCTAACCAAAGAACACCTGTTCCTCCGCTCAGGACTAGCTTGATAATTTGTAAGATCCATACAAAATGAAAATGCAGTGCCCTTGCTCAAACATCAGGAAAGAAATGAAATCAAAGGTACTAAGATATAAAGCTTTATTCCCTCCACCCCATGGCTACAGCTGTAATTGCTCATTATTGACATTACTTTGAGGGGTGGGCAGCCACAGGAGGGGAGATAGTTGCCCTAAGACCATAAATCAGAGAGAAAGTGAGAACTAGGCAGCATGGGAGAATGAGGTTGGGAGCAGATACATACCCTCACGTTGAACCCTCATGTTCAACCCTCACGATGAACCCCACCAAAGCATCCCGAGTCAGCTAACTGGGCATTTGGAGGGTTGATGTAGTTAACAGTTAGGCCCAGTACACAACTGGAAGGCTGGGTTAATTAATCCTGCAGTGCTGATGTGGAGAGTAGGAAGCATTGGTAAGAATCACACAGGAGTGAGAAATGTTGACGAGTGGCTCCTTGGCTGCAGGAGGAAATGAAAATCTCCCATGCTCTGGCCGACTTGGCTCAGTGGTTAGAGCATCGACCCCCAGATTGAAGGGTCACGGGTTCGATTCCCAGTCAAGTGTGAGAACCTCAGTTGCAGCTTCAATTCCTGGTGCCCCAACTGGGGCTTCTTGTAGGAGGCAACCAATTCTTTTATCTTTCACATCGGTGTTTCTCTCCTTCTCTCTCCTCCCTCTCCTCCCTTGCACTATCACTAAATATCAATGGAAAAAATATCCTTGGTGAGGATTAAAAATAATTTTTTTGCCAGTCTCTGTAACCTTTATTTTATTTTTTAAATGTATTTTTCAATCTTTATTGTTGAAAGTATTACATAGGTCGTCCTTTTCCCCCCATATACCTCTTCCAGCCTGCTCCCATCCTCCCCCACCTCACCCCCAACCAAAAAAAAACAAATAAAAAAAGTTTAAATAAAATAGTCCCAGGTTACTATAAGCCAGACATGTGTATTTCTTTTCTTGAATATCACCAAGGACCCCAAAAGGGCCACAGCACTAGAAATGGAAACCAGACCCCAGTTACCCTGAGGTGAAGGTCATCAGGACATGCAAATCTCTCCCACAGGCTGGTCAGATGTGGCCTCACGAACAACTGCTGCAAGGATTTGGCCTCCATGCTGGGTGCCTGCCCCAGCATGACAGAGTTGGACCTGCGGCACAACGACCTGGGTGACCTTGGCGTGAAGCTGCTCTGTGAAGGGCTCAGGCAGCCTGCCTGCCAACTCAAGCACCTGAGGTAAGTCCCTGGGGGGCATTTCTGGGCAGAGGACAGGGAAGTGGAGGGAGAGCAATGTGGGGCCCTGAATTGGACAGGGGAAGTAAAGGGGCAGAAAAATGCCTGGGAAGCCTGGGTTTCCTACCGGATCTGCCACTGACTTAGGCCATGAGCCGGGCAGGTTTCATCTGAGACTCGGTTTCTCCATCTGTATAACAGGGCTATCATACCCACTTCATAGATGTGATGAAATAAAATGCATGTAAAACTAGAGCCGCGCTGGGAACAGAGCTGAGAGGCTCCAATGAGAACCACTGGTGAGGCCACATGTTCAGAGGATTCCTGCCCAGATTTACTTCTCCAACCAAGGCAGGCCTTCCTTCCTTCCTTCCTTCCTTCCATCCTTCCTTCTGTCCTTCCTTCCTTTTTCCTTCCTTCCTTCCTTCATTGCCTCATTCATTCATTCACTCATTCATCCATTCATTCATTTCATGACTCCCATGTGCCAAGCACTGGGCCAGGCACTGAGGAAACAATATTGAGCAACAGACGTGGGTCCTGCCCCCTTAAGCTTGCACTCCAGTGAGACAGAGACAGATGTTGATGACATGTTAACACACAGTGTGTATCTCTGAACTCGGTGCAGTTTGTGAAGGGAAAGTGCACTGTGTTATGAGCGTGTAACAGGGAGGAGGATGGAATTAGACTCAGGGTCAGGAAGGGCCTCTCTGGGGAAGTGACAACCGGCCGAGACCTGAAGCAGAAAGAGGGGCTGAGCAGACCCAGTCAGGGGGAGCAGTCCAGGCTGAGAATAGCGTGGGGGAGACCCCAGGACAGAAACAGGCTCAGAGCTCTGGAGAGCGGTGTGGCCGGGTGCAGTGACCCCCAGCCCTCATTTCCCACCCTGTCTCCCTGCCACTTCCTGTCGCCCTCCAGCCTGAAAACAAGTCCACAGCCAGTTTCTGACTAAACATTTTTCTGCAGACCTGGCTGGGGCCTGTCACACTCACAGAGCTGACAGGGCTCCAAACCTCTGAGTCCTGACCCCTCAGTCTTGACTGAGGCTCCTGCCGGCTCTCAGCCTTTCCTCTGAGAGGCCTCCTTTCTCAACCTTAAAGCAGCAGGAGGTGAACACTCTACATGTGGGTCCTCCCAGAGCCCACTCTGTCCCTTCACAAGAAAGGGAACTCCATCCATAGGGCTACCACCACCCAGCCCCCTCCCCTCTGAGCATGTGTGGCTGTCACCATCTTCTATATGCTGAAGGGGCTCTCTAGAGCTGGGACTTTTCAGTAGGTCTGGGTCCATGCCCTACTCACCCATTATTCTTTGCCTTTTGGTTGCCTCAGAGCAGCTCTAGGACGTCCTGCGGAGGTTTCTGCCTCCTTCCTCCTTGGGCACTGGGACTGGGATGAGAGGGACAACCTCTGTATCATGGGTCATCCCCTCCCCAGGGGAGAACAGCTCTGACAGCAGGAATGAGGACGGTGTGCGCCCTGACAGGTGCAGGGTCTTCACACCTGCCTATCCATGGCTCATAATAGGCTGAGCAGGTCCCTCCCTGTTGGAGGTGAGGACATGAAGGCCCAAAGTGGGCAGCAGCCATCCCAAATCCAACAGAAACCCCAGAGCACAGGGCGTGTGAGAATGGAAACAGGCTCTTTCTTTCCAGGAAGCCTCCTAGCCCCTGGGAAGGAAATCCCAGGACCTTCTTCTGTGTGGTGAATTTGAGGCCATGGACACTGGCTGTTCTCTGGTGGATGCTGTGAAGTGCTGTCCAGTTCACTTTCAGGAAAGAAGACCTAACCCCCACCTCTGAGAGTGCTGCCAGATAAAAAGATGGCCTCTGCCAACTGGAGCCATCTCACACAAGGTCACCTCACCTCCGTGGGGTAGCCTGCATCCAGTGACTGGGGTAGTGGTATAAGGATCCTTCTCCCAATATGGAACAGCCCTGGAGGGTCATCCCCACAACAGAATTCCCACAGAATCAGTTGTGTCCCTGGGGACTGCATCACACCCCAACTTGTCCCTCTACCCAGTCCTGTTACCTCCCTTTTCCCTGGTATTGACCCAAGAACACTCCCTAATAAAACTCCTAACTCTACTTTCCATCATAGAATGTGTTTTCAGGGAACCCAGCATACAACAGGTTCCTGCAGGGCCTGGAAGGTTCCATGATTGTGGGCCCTGAGGCCCTGGAGATCGTGGGGGGCCCCAGCACAACCAGGCTTCTTTTCTGCTTGCAGGCTGAACCAGACTCAACTGAGTGAGGAGATGACAGAGATGCTGAGTCTCCTGCGGCAGGAGAAGCCTCAGCTGGTCATCAGCAGTCGGTAAGGGGAAGACACAGAACTCCCTCAAGCTGACCCAGGCCCAAGGCTGACTCCTAGAGGCTGTTCCAGGAACATGGGTCAGAAGTAGGGTGGGGAGTGGTGGGGTGAGGTTGGCAGAAGCAGGAAGAAGCCAGGAAACCACAGCAGCCAGAGTGAGTTTGTTTGTTTGTTTGTTTCTTTCTTTCTTCCTTTCTTTCTTTCTTTCTTTCTTTAGTTCAAACAAGATTATGCCCCTTCTCTGTTTAACCCTTCCATGAGATGATAAGGAGGTGAAAAAATGAAGAAAAGTGTGTGAGTGAGTGGGTGAGATTTGGAACATGAAAAGCAATGATATTGAGGGGGAGATAAGGACAAGCAGAGAGAGCTTTGGAGGCGACAGTCCACCCTCATTCAATCTCCACACATATAAACAACCATGCACTCAGCCCAGCTGAGGGAAATCCTGGGAACAGGAGAATATGATTTCCTACTGGGAATTTGCTGCAGCCCTATGAGCCTTCATTTTTATATATTTTGTCCTGTGACTGCAAAATACATCTATGCCCTGGAGGTGAGGACGACGGAGCCCCAACGCGCTAGGGTGTCTGCATGCACGACTCCGGGGACCAGGTTCAGTGACGGAGATCCGTTTTATTGTGGAACTACAGGAGTATATATAGCATGAGGGGGCCAATCAGAGGGAGACACATTGCTATAGGCGACCAATAAGAGGGAGACACATTGCTATAGGCGACCAATCAGAGGGAGACACGTTGCTATAGGCGACCAATCAGAGGGAGACATGTTGCTATAGGCGACCAATGGCTGAAAGGCTAGGGTACTGTGCACGTGGCTCTAGTAGTTAGTTCATGCGGGTTGCTACTTCCTGGTGTGCCGAGGAAGCATGTCATGGTGGAGTGTGCTCACACCATTGCATCAGCCGCAGCGCTGAGACATACTTCCCGAGCTCTACTACACATTCTGCATTCAATATGCTCAATTGTCCAAAATGTGTCCTTGTAGTAGGTTTGTTCTAATCAGGATCCAAACAAAGTCCACTCGTTGTATTTGGTTTGTTATGTCTCATAAATCTCACTTAAATCTCTTTCCACCTATATGTTCCTGACTTATTAACATCCACTGTGTGCAAAGTACCATACCAGTAACAACCAGCCATGAGTCGTTCCTCCCAAGGGTTTCCAGTCATAAGTAACCAATGTCTATAATCTTAGTCCTGATCTCTTACATAACACATCACCATTTGCTGTCACAGACATGATCTCAGCTGGGTGATAATATTACTCCCAACTTACACACACAGAAGCTGACATCCCAGGAAGCCACTCTATACCAACCAGGAACCTGAGGAAAGTCTCTGTAATATATCTGTAAGTGCTATTTTAATCTCAAGTGGTTACCATTAATATCACCATATAGATTGCATTAACTGTTGAAAAGTAGGACCTTAAAAATAATAACTTTTCTATTTTATTGTTCTTAATAGTATTGTTATTTTCATCATCATCATAATCATCATTCTAGAAACCACCTGCAGTCATATATTAAGCCATCAGCAAACATTAGGTCACTTATTATTCACAACTCTATGAGATGGTGCTATTGTTACTTTTACTTACAAATAAGAAAACTGAGGCGTTCTGGAGCCGCCACCACTGCTGCTGAGGCCACCGCTGACACCATGCAGAGCCAGAGCCAAGGCCCACAGGAGGGGGGAGGAGGAGGAGGAGGAGGAGGAGGAGCTTCTCAGTATTTAAACAGACCACACCATGGGTGAGTACAAGCTAGTGGTCCTTGGTTCAGGAAGCGTGGGGAAGTCTGCTCTGACAGTTCAGTTTGTTCAGTGAATTTTTGCTGAAAAATATGACCCAATGGTAGAAGATTCCTACAGAAAGCAATTGGGAGTAGATTGTCAACAGTGTATGCTCGAAATCCTGGACACGGCAGGAACAGGGCAATTCACAGCGATGAGGGATTTGTATATGAAGAATGGCCAAGGGTTTGCACTAGTATATTCTATTACAGCTCAGTCCACATTTAATGACTTACAGGACCCGAGGAAACAGATTTTACGGGTTACGGACACAGAAGATGTTCCAATGATTTGGGTTGGCAATAAATGTGACATGGAAGATGAGCAAGTAGTTGGAAAAGAACAGGGTCAGAATTTAGCAAGACAGTGGTGTAACTGTGCCTTTTTGGAATCTTCTGCAAAGTCAAAGATCAACGTTAATGAGATACTTTATGACCTGGTCAGGCAGATCAATAGAAAGACACCATTGGCAAAGAAGAAGCCTAAAAAGAAATCCTGTCTGCTGCTTTAGGCCCACAGTGAGCAGCAGCTCTGAGCCGGATTACAGGAATGAGGAACTGGTGCCTAATTGGAAAGTGCCAGCATTCCAGACTGCAAAAATTAAATCTGAAGCGGCTTCTCCTGTTTTATATATTATGTGAAGAATTTAGATCTTATATTGGTTTGCACAAGTTCCCTGGAGAGAACAAAATTGCTCTGTGTATGTCTCTCAGAAAATAAGACAATAGTATTTCTCCTTTGCAATAGCAGTTATAACAGATGTGAAAATAAATATACTTGACTCTAATATGATTATACAAAGGAGCACGGGTGCATTTCAGAAGTTAAATATTGCTACTATAATCAAATGATTTCATTTTGACCTTTCTATCATGATCCCTCCTGTCAGGCACTAAACGTTTAATTATTATACTTTATGTCTATAATGAGATAGATGATGAAATTTCCCCTCAAACTCATTACAGCAGATAACTTTTTTGAGTCATTGATTTCATTTTATATTTTAAAATTATGAAATATCATTCTCTCATTATATTCTGAATAAAATTGTGCATAATGCTTTGTAAAAAGGGTCTTTTACAGGGAAAAAACTAGGATAACTGATTCCTATGGCTTTCAAAGCTAAAATATATAATATACTAAACCAACTCTAATATTGCTTCTTGTGTTTCATTGTCAGATTAACTACCACTTTTATGAATGATTAAGTTTTAGTACATTTTTTTTAAAAAAGTAAGAAAACTGAGATTAGGGAGTGTCAATGACTTGCCCAGGGATCCACAGAGAGCAGAGGGGCTACGACTCAAACCCAAATCCCTCTGTGACATGTTTGCGCTTGCAGCCACTGTACTAGCTATGCACGGCACGGCTTGGGGTGGGATATTCAGTACATACTCAGTGAGCTTGTGTAGAGTAATTCAGTGTCTACTTCTCTCTGTAATCCCCAGAGTTCACTTCCCCATGGGTGGCTCCTACCCCTGGAACAAATCCAACAGAAACCCCAGAACACAAGGCCTGTGAGAATGGCTCTTTCTTTCCAGGACACCTCCTAGCCTCTAGGAAGGAAATCCTAGACTGGGGCCTGACTGTTCTCTGGTGGCTGCTGGGAAGTGCTGCCCAGGTCCCTTTCAGGAAAGAAGATGTAACCCCAGTTCCTGGGAGTGCTGCTGGCTACAGGGATGGCCTCTGCCAACTCACGCAAGGTCACCTCCCCTCCCTGGGGTGGCCTGCATCCAGTGACTGACTGGTGTAGTGGTATAAAGCACCTCCTCCCAGTATGGAACAGCCTGGAGGGTCATCCCCACATCAGAAGTCCCACAGAATCAGCTGTGTCCCTTGAGATTGTGTCATAGCCCAGCTTGTCCCTCTGCCCATTCCTGCTTCCTCCCTTTCTTTGCCCTGCTTAGACCCAAGAACATTTCTGAATAAACTTCCTAACTCTATTCTTCATCCCAGAACCTGATTTCAGGGAACGCAACCTACAGTAGTTCCTACAGGACCTTGAGATCGTGTGGGGGTCCCAGTAACCAGGCTTCCTTTGTGTTTGCAGGCTGCCCACGCCTCTGAGGAGTGTGGAGGTGACAGAGATGCAGGACACCCGAAAGTGTAAGAAAGGAAAGCATAAGAAACGTCAGCTGATCACCAGCAATCGGTAAAGGGGGAGACACAGACTTTGCTCAAGCTGACCCAGGCCCAGGGCTGACTCCTAGAGGCTGGTCCAGAGACATGGGCCAGAAGTGGGGTGGGGTGAGGCTGGAGGCAGAGACAGACAGAACAGGAAGAAGTCAAGAAAACACAGCCATCAGAGGGAGATTGTTTCTTTGTTTACTTCTTTGTTTCTTTGTTTGGTGAAAACAAAATGATGTCCCTCCTCTATTTAAAGCCTGCCAATGATAAAGAAATGAATAAGTGAAAAAAAGTGAGTGGGTGATATTTTGAACAGGGAAAGCAACAACCACGAGGAGGTGACAAAGACAAGGAGAGAGAGCTTTGCGGGGGAAGCCCACCCTCACTCACCCGCCACACATATAAACACCCATGGACACAGCCCCGCTGAGGGGAAGCCTTGGGAAGAGGAGAATGCACCTTCCTCTGGGGCATTTGCTATATTTCGACTTGTGATGGCGAAGTGCACTTATGCCCTGGTTCTGACTGCTCTGCCTCACCTGGCATGGCAGGGAACGGCTCCTAGGCTTAGGGGAGCCATTCCTCGGGGAACTAGCAATACCTCAGACGCACAGTGTGTTGGGCACAGGACCTCGGACATGGGCCCAACTCCTAAGAATTAACTCAGCAGGGACACAGACCAGGTGACCAAAAGCATGAATCATTGTGCCTGGGATCACCGTGAATGATCTGATGGCCTATCTGAGTCCGTCCAAAGGACCTGAGCTGAGTTATGAAAAGTGGGAGGGCTTAGCTGGGCCTCCAATGGGTATTTTGCTGCAGCGGTAGAGGCTCTGATCTCAGCTCCTTTGATGAAGGGAAGGAGGCCAGGGACCAGAAACACTGCTACTCAAGTGTGGACCATGGACCAGCAGTGTCAGCATCAGCAGCAGCATCACCTGAGAGCTCATTACAAATGCAAATCTCAAGCCTCGCTCCAGACCTGCTCAATCAGAATCTGTGTTTTGACAAGGCCTTTGAGCAGAACTGGGTCAGAAGTGAGTGAGCAGGGAGAGTGGCAGAGGTGGGATTGGAGCTGAGGGGTGGCAGGAAGTTGGGAGGACAAAGAGGCCTTTGGGCCATGTTAATAACTTCCGCTTCTACCTTAAAAGCAATAAAGAAAGATTTCAGGGCTTCAGTAGCTACGTGATGAGTCAGGTTCAAATTGAAGATCAGCTGCTGTGTAGAAATGGCCTGGAGAGGGACAAGAGAAGAAAAGGACACCTTCAGGGGGGGGATGCAGTGGTTGGAGCCACAGATGCCAGAGCCTTGGCTGGAGGTGGAGGCTGTGGAGCCTTTGGAGGTGGAGAGAAGGGACTAGAAAGGAGAGCTATACTAGAGCCAGTGACAAGGTGGCCAATCAACTCTCAAATGGAGCCAGAAGGAACCAGAACTACATCCCAGTTCCTGCATGGATGGAGGGGTGGATGGGGGCCATCACAAAGACAGGGTCTATGAAAGAATATCAGATGAAGGCCACGAGTTCAAATTCAGATGGGTTGAAATTAAGTGGGAATGTCACATAGACAGCCCCAACTTCCTCCAAGACCTCAGGGAGAATGACCAACTCTGTGTCTAGGAAGCCAAGTGCAACGATCACGAAGATGGTCCCAGGTGGAGGACAGACGAGTGATGGCACAGCTCCACCCCAATACCAGAGATCAGAATCAGGTACTTTGAAGGGGCCAGGCTGGGAGCATCATTAACTGGGACAGGGGTGAGGAGGATATGGAAGGCCATCCCCTCCGTGCTCCTGCCTCTGGGGTGAGCCATGGCAAAATTCACAACTAGAGAGGCCTCGCTCCATGCAAGATCCTCCACACCTAGAGCCTGGCAAGATCTCTGGTTCCCTCCCTCCCAGGCTCAGGGGCTGAGGCTGCTCCTCACCAGCTCATGTAGGGCATGTCTCAGACTCTGATCCACGCTGGGCTTCTGAGGCCTGGGAATCCCTTTCCGTCATTGTCCATCCACCTTTAGAGCCATGTTCTTCTCATAAGCTACCTTTCTGGTGGATGAGGGAATAGAAATGCCTTCTGACCAGTGGGCAGGGGTGGCATCAGGGGACAACAGGGTTGGGCCTCCTCAGATAGCAGGTAGTCAGCCCCAGGAGCATGGACAAAGGCTACTAACACACACCTTCCAAAGTCCAGGAGGACCAGCCTTAAGAAGGACCCCTCCGTGGTCTAGCTTAAGGGGTAGGAGAGGCCAGACAGGAGACCCTAAAGCTGACCACTACCCTGTCTGTTCCAGATGATAGCTCCCATCAAGTATTACAGAAACCCTACTGTGTGTCATCTGGTGAATCTCTAGGGCACCAACTTTTGGACCCTCTAGGGATGGATGATGACTTCTGGGGCCCCACAGGGCCTGTGGCTACAGAGATGGTTGACAAACACAGGAGTCTGTACCGGTGAGTGACAGGACTCTGGTGTGCCAGGCTGGCCTCCCCACCCCTGCCATCCCCACACTGAATCCCAGCAGACACTCAGCACCCCACTCATGATCCATTGGGTCCCTTCTCATTGTTGAGCCACCAGGCAGAGAGACAGGGCTGTATTAGTACTTTTATTATGGAAACAGAAGTTTTATTATGAAAAGTTGCAAACAACAAAGAAAAATGTTCAAGGGACTACCACTTACTCATTACCCAGCCTTAACAACCATTTTCCCAAATTTGTTTCAACTATTCACTTTCCCCTTCTTTTGTTGTTATACTATTTTAAATACAAGATATCAGGTGATTTTATCCATATATGTTTTGTGATGAATTTTGAAGAATACAAAATAACCACAATACCATTGTCATAACCACAATGCCATTGTCATATCTAACAACATTTACAATAAGTCATTTTCATATCATCTAATACCCCATCTGTATTCAATATGCTCAATTGTCCAAAATATGTCCTTGCAGTAAGTTTATTCTAATCAGGATCCAAACCAAGTCCACTCATTTTATTTGGTTTGTTATGTATCGTAAATCTCATTTAAATCTCTTTTCATCTACACATTCCTGCTTTATTAACATCCGCTATGTACAAAGTACCATACCAGTAACAAGGAGCCATGAGATGAATATGGAGGCATGCCTTCCAAGGGTTCCCAGGCTTAAGTAATAAATATCTATAATTTTAGTTCTGATCTCTTACATAGCACATTCCCATTCATTGTCACAGACATGATCTCAGCTGGGTGATAATATTACTCACAACTTACACACAGAACCTGACATCCTAGAAACCCGCTATATGCCAGCAGGGAACCTGGGGAAAGTCTCTGTAAGTTCTATTTTAAGTTCAAATGGTTATCATTAATATCACCATGGAGATTGTTATTAATTATTGAAAATTAGGCCCTTTAAAAACAATAACACTTGCCTGTTTCATTATTATTAATATTATTATTACTATCATTATTATTCTCATCATTATCACCATTATAGAAACAGCTAACCACACCCACGCAGGTATTAAGCCAGGCGTCCTCCATCTACGGCCCGCGGGCCACATGTGGCCCACCAAAAACATTTATCCGGCCCGCTGGGTGTATTTGCCGCCGCAGTGTGCATAGGAATTTGTTCATAGTTTTTTTTTAAAACTATAGTCCGGCCCTCCAACGGTCTGAGGGACAGTGAACTGGCCCCCTGTTTAAAAAGTTTGAGGATCTCTGTTTAAGCCATCAGCATACATTAGGTCACTAATTACTCACAACTCTAAGAGATAGTTTTGTTATTACTTTTACTTAAAAATAAGAAAACTGAGATTAGGAATCTCAATGACTTGCTCAGGGATCCACAGTAGGGAGAAGAGGGGCCAAGAATTGAACCTAAATCCCTCTGGCTGTGACATCTGAGCTTGCAGCCACTCTACTAGATACAAAGTGCACTGCATGGGGTCAGGCACCCAGAAGGTAGTTCGTGAACTTGTGTAGAGTAATTAATTCAATGTCTACCTCTCTCTGCTATCCCCAGAGTTCACTTCCCTGTGGCTTGTTCCTACCACTGGCCCAACGTGGGTCTCCACTTTGTGGTCAGAGGGCCAGTGACCATTGAGATTGAATTCTGTGCTTGGGACCAGTTCCTGGACCAGATTGTCCCACGGCACAGCTGGATGGTTGCAGGGCCTCTTTTTGACATCAAGGCTGAACCAGGAGCTGTGGCAGCTGTGCACCTCCCTCACTTTATAGCCCTCCAAGGTGAGTGAGAGGGAGGTGTGGGGGAAGTTGATGGTGGTGAGAATGGGCCTGAAATGGCTTCCAATGGCTTTCAATATCCTGAGGGGAGTTTGTGACTTCCTTAGACAGACTGAGAGAAAGTTATAGAAGTGGCAGCAGCTTTCTTTCTCATTCCACAGTGCTCTGGGCATATCTTTTTTTGAAACATTGTCTCCCCAAGCACCATAATCATTTTTGCCTGAATTACTTGAAGATTCCCCTCAATAGAAAGTGGTCTCCTCAATAACAATAATAGCCATCATTTATTAAGTTCTCTTCACATAGATTATATTACTCAGGGTCTCAGCAGGAAACATGATGTACTCATTTGAGATTTTTTAGAAGACTTTTCAAAGACTAGCCTATCTGTAAGTAAGGCTAAGTGAACAAATGAGAAAGGTTGAGGTACCTGGAGAATAGGAACAAATGGGAAGCCATTGCTACTGTTAGAGGCAGGGAGAAGAAACAGTGTCACCAGACTCCATATGAGAACTCAAGCCACAAAAGTAGAGCATCTCAGAAGGAGATTTAGTCATAAAGGGTAATGTTATTATCCCAACACCTCCCAAGACTTCCCACAGATAAAATTCTGAAAATATAAGCTTATAAGCAAAACCTTAGAAACAGGGAACAGGCAGCATACGTGAGAACCAACAAAAATGTCAGGTTATATCAGGCTATAAAGAAGTTAGTCATTTAAATTATCAGAAAAAAATAAGTATTTTTTTATGCTTAAAGAAATCATTTTTAAAATATGAGCAAGAAGCAATAAACCATTAAAATGATTAATCAAGTTTGAAACAAAGCTATATTGACAGAAAAAATAATAAAGCATAATTAAGAAAAGGATAAGTGACATGGAAGATGCTGTGAGAAGGTCTAACATACATAGAATCAGAATTCCAGGAGAATATTATAGAGAGAATGGAGAGGATGTTATATTCAAATAATTACCAAGAAATTTCTAGAATTGCTGAAAGAATTTCCTTCTAGGAAGGAAAAAAATCCAAAGCAGGAGAGAGGGATAGAGAGAAATCAGCAATCAACCCATTAAAGTGCATCACCAGAATGCAGACATCTATAGGCAGTTTTTAACAGCACCCAGAAAGATTAACCAGAAAGGTGCTACAATTAGGTTGACAACTGATTTTCGACAATAACAATGAAAGGCAGAAGACAATAGAATGATATCCTCACAGTAATGAGGAAATAATTGCCAATCAAGAATTGGGTGTTAGATTCTGTCCAATGCTTTCTCTGCGTCTATTGATATGATCACGTGATTTTTATCTTTCAATTTGTTTATATGATGTATCACGTTTATTGATTTGCAAATATTGTACCAGTCTTGCATCCCTGGATCCCACTTGATCATGCTGTATGATCTTTTCACTTTATTACTAGATGCAATTTGCTAGAATTTTGTTGAGGATTTTAGCATCTATATTCATCAGGGATACTGGCCTGTAATTCTCTTTCTTTGTAGTGTCTTTATCGAGTTTTGGAATTAGGATAATGCAGGCCTCATAAAAAGAGTTTGGAAGTGTTTCTTTCTCTTGGATTTTCTGAAACAGTCTGAGGAGTATAGGTCTTAGTTCTTCTTTTAATGTTTGGTAAATCTCCCCTGTGAAGCCATCTGGATCTGGACTTTTGTTTGGTGGGAGTTTTTTGATTATTGCTTCTATTTCATCAGTTGTTATTGGCCTATTCAGGTTTTCTGATTCCTCCTGATTCAGTTTTGGAAGATTATATTTTTCTAGTAATTTGTCTATTTCATCCACATTGTCCAGCTTGTTGGCATATAGTTGTTCATGGTATTTTCTTACAATCTTTGTATTTCTGTGGTGTCAGTGGTTACTTCTCCACTTTTGTTTCTGATTTTACTTATTTGGGTCCTCTCTCTTGGTTTCTTGATGAGTCTGGCTAATGTTGTAATGTACCCCGCGAATCACACAAGGACGCCTCAAGAAGTCAAATAAGGAGCCACATTTATTTCAAAGCCGGGACTACTAGGGGGCAATGCTCTCCAAATCTCATAGTGCCCTCTTAGCCAAAATATCAGACTTGTATAGGCAAATATCACAAAGGTATTGATTACATCTCGAGATTTGGAATAAGTAACCTGGTTTGCAAAAAGCAGTTTGTTACAGAAGCTTAGATTGAGTAAGTTAGTTACAAAGATTAATTATAGTTTCGGGTCTTGGGACCACTGAGTCAATGGAAACACATTATCTGGAGCCACTGAGGCAATTTAGAGTAATGGTGCTGTCCTGGTCAGGTCCTAGGACCACTGAGTCAATGGAAACAGATTATCTGGAGCCACTGAGTCCACTTAGAGTAATTGTGCTGTCATGGTCTCCAGGTGAAGAGAAATGTGTATTGAAAGACCAATAAGATCACTATCAATGGGGGTATTCAAACCATAACCAATGGAGTATTCCATTGAATAGGATAACTTACATAAGTTCAGAAAATCAAAATAACTTTTCTATTATTTTAGCAAACAAATAATTACAGAAGCCAAGTCAGCAAGGTTAAAATATTAAACAGAAATTTTTACCCAAGCATGGTTGCTACCATGCTTCACTAACAGTTTATTAATTTTTTTTACACTTTCAAAGAACCAGTTCTTGGTTTCATTGATTTTTGTATTGTTTTTGTAGTCTCTGTGTTATTTATTTCTGCTCTAATCTTTATTATTTTCTTCTTTCTACTTACTCTGGGTTTTTCTTGTTGTTCTCGTTCTAGTACTTTAAGTTGTAGGGTTAAATAGTTTATTGCTGATTTTTCTTCTTTTTTGTTTTTTTGTTTTGTTTTATTTTGGTTTGGGGTTTTGTGTGTGTGTGTGTGTGTGTGTGTGTGTGTGTGTGTTTAAGTATGCCTGTAGTGCTATGAATTTCCCTCTCAGGACTGCTTTTGCTGTGTCCCAGAGATTTGGGGTTGTTGTGTGTTCATTTTCATTTGTTTCCAGGAAGTTTTTTCAACAGCACGGGGCAGCTGCTTCTGTCTGAAGGCTAATTGTTATTTTTAATGTCTTAAGTGGCCTCAGAGCAAGGTGTTATCCAATAGGATGTGTAAACTGTCTTCCCCTCAGGCAAGGCAAATATCTATGTGAGAAAGATGACCTCAGCTGTGTGAGGGAATGATTCAGCCCAGAAAACTTGGGGTGTCTGCATTCTGAGCTCTATCCCCCCGAGTCCCCACTACTGGCTTCTGTTCTCACAGCTCCAGTCCATTTCACCCTCCCTCTGCTGGAGCAGAAGATGGGTGACTTCACAGGGAATTTTGTGCATTGGCCCTTTAAGAGGGTGCCTGAATTTTCAGCTGTCACTCCCTGGCAGATAGCACCCTGCTGTTTTTCACATCCAGATGTTATGTGGGTACTCTTCCAGTTTTGGTGCTCTCTGCTGGGGCAGAGGAGGGGGAGAGCTTGGAGATTAGATCTCTGATGTCTCAGTGGCAAACCCCCACAGCTGAGATATTTCTCTGGGTCTTTAGTTGCTGTCTGTGGGCGCCTGCCCAGCCCTTTCCCATCTCTGCCTCTTTTACCAGTCTCTATGCAGTCTCCACTTTTGGTCCTCAGGTATTAGGGTTCTCTCCTGCAAGTTTTTAGTTGTATTTTAGTTGTAATTCCAGTTTGTTCCTGGGAGCATGTCTGTGCAGCATCCACTTACTCTATCGCCATTTTTAACCCTCTAAAATAGACATTTTAAAACAAACTAAAATCAAGATAGCTTTCCACGAACAAATCCATCCTGAAGGAAATTCTAAAGGATATACTTCAAGCAAAATGATCACATATAGAAAGCATGGGGTGCAAGATGAAATAATCAGCAAAGATACTGAGACACATCTGGGTAAATCTAACAAACCAATGACTAGACAAAGCAACAATAACAATGCCTGATGTGTGGGTATTTTAAAAAGAGAGAGAACAAAGTGCCAATAGCCATAACAAGTTGAATGTTAAAGAATCTGAAGATCTAGGTTAGTTCACAAGAGGGTGAAGGTTGCACTAGAACTGCCATCTGGGTTAAAATGCTGAAATACCTCAGCACTGATTAGGAAAGATAAATTCTCCACTGTTTGAGACCACAAGTGACCTGACAACATAATCCAGTACTGGCCACAGGAACAAGTAATGGGGTGTGCGCATGTGCAGGCATGGATGGGGTGTGCGCATGTGCAGGCATGGATGCGGTGGCTGAGGCTGCATCTCTCCACATCACCCAGGGATAGGCAGCAAGGTCTGAGCCTATTTGGTAGCAGGAGCAGTGTTGGTGGCAAGAGCTGAGGCACAGGCTTTCCAATCCAGGGCATGAGATGCACACCCAGCCAATGCTGGTTGCCTCAGACATAATGTCTATCAATTTAGTGAGAAAGTTAGAAGAACCTGATGCGATTCTCCATATCAAATCATGACTCAGACAGAAACTGATGGAATTATGATGGAATCCTAGCTAATAAAAGAGAAACATGGTAATTAGCGTACATCCGCTACCCTTCCCATTGGCGAATCAGCGATATATGCAAATTAACTGCCAGCCAAGATGGCGGCCGGCAGCCAGGCAGCTTGAAACTAACATGAGGCTTGCTTGCTTCAGTGATGGAGGAAACCAACATTCCCCACCTGCCTTGCCGGCCCCTGAGCTTGCAGTTTGAAACAAAGTTACAAATATAGAAGCTAAACAAAACCCCAGAAACCTGCTTTCAGCCCACCGGGATCTCAGAGCTGGAGTTGATACAGTGTTTCGATTATAGAACACAAACAAACCAGATACCTGCTTTCAGCAGCAGAGACCTCAGAGCTGGAGCCAGAGCTAAAGCTGGCCCAGAATAAAAAAGAAAAAAAGGAGCAGTTGGGAGCTTCAGTCACCGCCAGCCTGAAAACAGCCCTCAGCCCCTCACCCAGACTGGCCAGGCACCCCAGTGGGGACCCCCACCCTGAAGGGTGTGTGACCAGCTGCAAACAGCCATCATCC